AAAGGGGCAGGAAAAAGATAAAAAATCAAACAGCTTTTAACAAATGTGAAGAAATTCTGAAAACCGATTACCATATTCATGCGCTCACCACATCTTCTTGAGTGCCTCCTTTGTGCTTGGCACTTTCCTGGGAATTAACCTGATAAGGTCCCTGCCCTTAGGGAGTCCATTAGTCAATCAACAAACACTTGCCACTCCTCTACTACGGGCCTGGTCTGGATCTCAGGGCTGGGGACATAGCAGGGAACAAGATGGAAAAAAATTCCTACCCAGAGATATCTTAAAGAGTCTAAGGGGGAGAGAGAAAGTAAATATTAACATCAGGTAATTTTGGATAAGTTAGGAAGAAAACAGTAGCAGTACGACTCAGAGAAGGTAGCTGGGAAGAGATGGGTGCTAGGCTAGATGACCAGGGACAGCCTTGTTGAGCAAGGACCATTTTATCCCCTCCAGAATCCCAAACTCCTGCTCCAGCCAAGGGACAACTATTGGTGGGAGTGAGAAGAGGGGACAGTGAGCAAGAGACCCTGAATGGGGGGTGGGGGTGAGGGCTGAGGACAGGCTGCACAGAGGAGGCTGCCCAGGACTCAGCTCCTGGCAGACAGATGGATGGACGCAAAGGGGGATATACTGTAAAGTGCTGTAGGCAGGGAGCCGCAGGGAATGAAGCTGGCTAGTCTGGGGACCTTGGGACACTAGTTGCTATTTTGTAGCTGAGCACAAGGGCAGGGTGCCACAGCAGGGGCCCTGGGCAGGGCAGAGAGAGTGGGACTGCACCCTAGAAGGTTGTCCCTGGCAGGACGAGGAGGGGGACTGAAAGGGGACCCAGGTGGGGGCCTGGACCAGAAAGGGTGGTCCCTCTGGCAGAGCTGTGGTTGAGGGGCTGGAAAGGAGAGATGGGGACAGCAGCAGAAGGAAAAGTATTTGCAGAACTTGGGGACCGGAGGCTCCCCTGGCATGGTCACTGGTGGTCTCTCTGGAGCCAGGGCACCCTCCCCCAAGCTGGACACGGAGAAGCCACAGGCATGAAGAGGAGCCCGTGAGGGAAAGGCATGCACAAAACTGAAACTTCCAAGGCACGGAGATCGATTACGACGCAAGCCCCACGCAAGCCCAGCTCAGAAAGAGCTTCCTGCAGCCCAGGAGAAAATTAACAAATACCAAACAGCCCTAGGTCATCCTTTGGAGGCGCTCTTGGAGTTCACTTTTCCAGGGGTCCTGGACCCTGCCCATGCCCTGGGCGATCCTGCCTTGGTCTGGGCAGGGCCGGGGTGGTGCCAACGTGACAGGAGAATCCGCAGGTAAGGGCTTAGCCCAGCACCTCGGTAGCAGGGCCGTCGGGAACCACTGATGCACGGAACCGCGGGCCTGCTCCGTGGTGCTTTTGGGAGCCATCCAGAACTGATGCAGCTGGAAAGTCAATAGGCCTGTGGCACGGGTCCTACACCAAGTCCACGGGTCAACTCGCGGGGAGGCTCCTGCCGCCCAGAGTCGGCACCCCGAGCAGAAGTCGTCCAAGGAGGGATTCGATACCGGAAAGAGGTTGACTGTATAATATTCATCGTATAGAAAGTGAACACCTCACAGGCAACCTATCTCAGGTACCACTGAGC